ATTGCCTAATAGAGTAACCCTTCATTAGAGTAGAAATGAAGTTAAAATGATAACACACTCTTTGCCGCTGCTCTCATAGGAAGTTGCCTAATAGTAACCCCTTCATCGACATTGCCATCAAAACTATTCTTCCTTGTATGTGCCTTCTTTTCGCCATACGTGTTCGGTTGTTTTTTTTTGGTTTTTTTTTTTTTTTTTTTTTTTTTTTTTTTTTTTTTTTTTTTTTTTTTTTTTNTTTTGGTATATTTCATTGGACGATAAGTATTATTAATAGTAGCTTAAAGTTTTATCGGCTATCAATGCTGTGACCTAATGGTCAATTAAATGGAAGAAAAATTATGAGGTCTTAGGTTCAAGGCTAAAGTTGTGGTTTAATTGAAAAATTGAATTATGAAATTTTGAAACTCATTCACTCATAAAATAAGTACTGATATTGATACTTATCGAGTATGGAATAAATTTCTTTTTCTTTGTTCCTACGAGCTAAAATAATATGTTGATATCTCTAGTAAACTCCATGAAAGAAAAAATTAATGATTCATAAAGTTTTCGCAGGAGAATAGTCAATAAAATGAAAGAAAAATTATGAGGTCTTAGGTTCAATTCTCAAGGATACAAGAAATGTGATTTCTTTCCATAGTGCACGAAGACTAATCCAAACACCATTGTTAATCAATTATGTTACCAACCGGCTGGGTTAAACTTGTATATAAATATGAAAACATTAGAATTATCGGTTGTCTTGAGCCAAGAGTTTATCGGAAACGATATTTTTATCTTCATAAGGTATGAGTAAGATCTGCAAACACGCTACCCTCCTTAGACCCTACTTGTGGAATTTCACTGAATATGTTGTTGTAGAATTATTTGTTGTGTATGTATAATAGTAAGGTCTCTTGTCTCCCCTAACTCTAAATTCTAAATTCACTTATGAATTCATCTCCAGCCTCGGCAATCACCTGCATCCTAACAACTAAATTTTACAACTATATATGTGCTTTAAAATTGAATAGGAGGTGTCATTGCCACATTACATATACTTATTACCACAGACTTCTATCATTGGCGAAGCCACATAGTCATAAGGGTGGTCAACTTCGTCGAAAAATTATACTGTGTACATAAGTAAAATATTACGTTTTAGAGGTATATAACACATATTGAACACCTTTTTACACTTCTTTTAAAATTGAACACTCTTGAAGAAATTTTTAGTTTCGCCGCTGCTTCTGCTTAGAGCTGAGATTTCCATCGTTGGAATTCGATAAATTGGGAATCCACATAATCCTAGATTCCTTGGTATTATTAGAGAGTGTACTATTTCATGGCTGGAGACATTAAAAAAAAATTAGGATTGAGATATGGTTAATCAGAATATGCGATACGATGGAAATATGGAATAAAGTAGATTCAAGAATTGCTTTAGTATCTTTGGCAGAATCCTCTTTGACTATTTAACACACAACTTGTCCACTCTTTCGTCTAGTTTAGACTCCTTAATTATAATTAGGTACACGTAAATATCAATCTATTTTAATCATAAAATAAGCGTTGAAAATACACAAGCGATAAACATTGGCTGGGGCTGATAATATAGCATAGGCAATCACGATTGCACAAGTACATTATTGTCAACTTCTCAACTACGTGGGTGCTAAAATATTAATCAACATGTTTTTGGAAATTTGGCCGAAGCTAGAGTGGCCGAAGCTCTGTTCATTCGTAACTCTTTCGTCAGAAAGTCACACTATATATAATTTTTTTGAAATATATGTATAATATACGTTGATTCCCTTGATAAGATTTCATGTATTACTATTGTTGACGTTGTTGAAATATATGATAACTTAATAGTTCCTGAATTCCTGAGCCGAGGGTATATTGGAAACAACCTCTCTATCCTCACAAGGTAGGGGTAAGGTCTGCGTACACAACCTTCCCCAGACCCTGCGGTGTGGGATAATACGGAGTATATTGTTAATAATTCCTGAATTATTCACTACTGCATTTAATTGGTTCTTTGAGGTTTTTGGCGCACTGAATACCAGTGCCTTTTAAGTTGCTCGACCTTATCTCTAACTGAGTCGCTTCTCTTTCAAGTTTAGAATATGGTATAGGCAAACAATTGTCCAGTCAAGATTTTAAGTCGGTAAATATAATGTATGATATTATTAATTACTTAAATGAGCATTTAAACTTGATCGATTATATGAATTTGAATTCGTGAAACTTCTTTGATATTGTGGTCCATTATTTAAAGTGATATTTGATCTCAATTCTTCAAACTAATTTATAATTATAAAATAATAGTAGGCAGTTGTTAACGTAAGAGAGAGATCCATTTTTATGATTGTCTTTTTCCCCATTCTTTCTTTGTCCGATTCGACATGCCAGATTTAGTCGCTTACGTAATCAAAGCATTATGAAAGTACTAATTTAGAGTTTATTTATTCTTTTTATTTTTATGGATTGAGATTCATAATTTTTTTTCTTGTCAAATTAATGTTTTTTTTTTTTATAATTGTGTAGGTCTTATACGGATTACGTCTGATCGCAAATAGCCTAAATAGTACCCAAAATAGTACTAATTTAACGATAGTGGTCATCATGTTGACCTGAATGCAAAAAGAAAATTAACTTTTTAAAATGTTTGTGGTGATGGAATCCATTATATAAGGCAGATTAGAAGTACCTTTAAGTAGAGAAAAATAAAAATAAAAATAAAATTATTCTCTTTTTTAAAAAAAGATTGATAATATTTTCTTATTAATTTGTTTAAAAAAAGATTGGTATCTTTCAATATTTTCTTAATAAAAAACATTGATAACCACATAAATTTTATGGCAAATTTCAGATCACAAGTTTTAAAGTTTTACAGCCATATAAGTGCTATGACTTATTTAACACCATATATCCCAAAAGTCTTCCCTTTTTTATTAAAATTTGTGCGAAGTCAAGCTAAGACAATCTTTTTGAAACAGAGGAAGTAGTATGTTTCTCTAAAATTATTTGTATTAATTTGTTGTTTCACTTAAACAACAACAATAACAAATTAATTCAGTGTATTCCCCATATCTTGTAAAGATAGAAAATTATTTTCGATTGATTCTCGACTCAAAAAGAAATGAAAAAGAAGACGAAACAAAAAAAAAGTAATAATAGCAAGAAAAGATGAATAAAATAATCGAGACGATTATTGTTTCACTTATCAGTTAGTAAATTTTATTGATCAAAACGTTACGCTTCAAACTGTAAATTCTTACTATGATTAAGCCTTTTCTTACTTTGTTAAGTATGTAACAAAAAACAAAATATTTGTTAATTGGAGGATTAGTAGGTGGATGGTCCCTTTAATTTGGACAGTAATGATTCCAAAGTGAGTATGGTGGAGCAACTTGCTATTTTTATTTCTGTGAGATCAGCAACTTGCTATATACTTCTTTAGATTATTCTTTGGTTCCTTTTCTTTTAAATCTCATAAGACGCAAGTGGAGTCTCTTTTTGGTTAATCACAACCTTTTTTTTCGTAAAAGAATGTGTGACATAATATTACAATAATAAGAACAATAATAATTGCAGTCAAAGCTAGTGAGAAATGAAAACAAATAGGAGATAATTAACTGTAACTTGAAAGAACAACACTAAAAGCAGAATAATATTTGCAATTAGCCTAGATTTCCACTCTTAAATGTTCTATCTCACACACACATAATATATACTGTATATACATAAGAAGAAGATGGGTTAGCATTTCGAGAGAGTTTCACATGCTTCTATATTTTTTATCTCTTTTTGAGAGATTTTTTTCGTTTATTTTTCTTGACAAAATTATACTATACTCTTTTCTGACAATTCATCTGATGAAGTTGCCAACCCTCCAGATGAAAACAGTAAAGAACAAATCAATTAATTATGTCTTAATTTTTAGTCGGGGTCAATTATATAAATTCTTTGAATATTGAGAGAATTCATTAAACTTTAATTACTTTAGCACCACTAATAATGTAAAAATACTCTACTATGATAAAAATTTATCTACTGTAGTAGCTTACATACTTTATTTTCATATTATTAATTATGAACAGTAGTTCTAGTTATTTTTTTAAAATACATAATAGTATAAAAAATACACTATCATATAATAAAAGTTAGTAGTAAATAAATAGTAGTTGTCAATATCTACACTTTTTCTTTTTTATTCCAAGTTGGAGCCTTTTATATTTTCGAAAATGTGGTCCTGATTTGCTCTTGGTGCAGCTGTGGTTTGTAATAACACTACCTAAAACTACACAAATGTTGTCATCACTCTGATTACCCATAATGGTTCAAACATTAATCTAATATTAATTCCTACTAATCCCTCACGCAATATAATCATCTCTGCTTAGCACGCTCCAATCAAATTTCTCTTATTTCGCGCCCGAAAGTGTTACGAGCTTTTTTTTTTAAAAAACTTTTAGTCCGCACCATAAATTATATATATTCGGTAGTCGAAAATGTGTATATATTCAAAAAATATATATATTTTTGACAATTATTTTAAGAGCGGCTATACAATATTATTTTTTTCAAGTGTTTTTGTTCTAGCCAAACCACGCGCGATTCTAGGAGCGTGTATAAAAAGTTCTTTTCCTTTTTATTACTTGTATAATAAATAATTAATACATGCAAGTTGATGTTTTTTTTGCCCTTTTTAAACATTTTTTTGTTTACGTCAGAGAGCATCTGAATAGAGTAATGGATATTAAGAAAGTGGCAAACACACAATTCCTACTCACAAACACTGTACAAACCACCCACCAAAAAAAAAAAAAACAAAAAAAACCACAAAGAAGTGCATGAATTTAGACCTTTTTACTTTTACCATTTTGAGTTTCATTTGCTCTTTCTTGAGCTAAAGAATCCAAAATCAATTTGTACTTGTTTGTTGTGAATGTTGGATTAGATGGGGGTGTTTTCTTGATTTGTAGTTGACTTTATAACGGGAATCCCCAGAGTNAAATTGGAGGGGAAGATATAAGAGGGACATTTAGTCCCTACACATGTTTTGTTGCTGATGTTGCTTCTTCTTAGACAGCCACACAAGAACATTTCCAGCCAAAGTTTACATTTTTACTGCACAAAAAGAATGAATAGAGCAAAGTTTTGACCTTTGGAATATCCAAGAATCTTTTTTCATAGTGAGTTCCTCTTCCTCTCATTTCCTCTTTTGTCTCTATGTTCTCAACTTGGATCATTCATCTTATCTCAACTATGTCTCCAATTATTTTCTGTTCTCGTCAATTTTCTTACCTTTTTCTCCGTTCAAAATTGTTACTTTTACCGTTGGTTTTATGTCTCATACCCTTTCTTCTCATTTTTATAACTACTCTATCTTGAATTCTTGCAACTTTCTTTTGTTATAGGCACTGTTGTATAGATCTATATTTTGGTGGTAGCTGGTTATTTCTTCTACTTTTTGACTTTGGAATCAGATATGTATACCAAGATTGCAAAATCCAACTTGGTGGAATATGTTGATATCTACATATATTTGATTCTGGAACTAAATAATATTTGAGAAGTTCCTCTTTTTATTGTTGTTTTGAGATTCTTTGGTTCCTCTATCCTTTTTGCTTTACTGCTGATTCTAAGTTAGAACATAATTTTGGCAGATTTGGTTTTCCAAGGCTGGAGCTTTCTTAGGTTATATTGTGTCTGGAAGGATTCTTAGTGATTACCATAAATTTGGATCAAGTACAGTACTAATCTTAGGAATTTGAAGACAGATTGAGTGCAAATGGATGAAAGCGTTATTCCTTCGAATCCTTTGTTGACAAACCAATCTGATTATCTCATGGATTTGGATTATATGGATGGATTATTGTTAGAGGGATGTTGGTTGGAAACTACTGATGGTAATGAATTCATGCAAAATAGTCCAGCCACTTTCAATGCTCCATTTGATTCTTCATTTATGTGGCCTAATACTATAGATACCAACAGTGTAGATTTTAGTGAGATCCCATCAAAAGATAATCAACAAGAAAAGCAAATTCAGCTTTTTGGTGAGAATGTAAACAATGCCATGTGTACTTCAGGTCAATCGGAAAATCATTTAGTTGAAGCTCCAGAGTTGAATAGAAGGTGGTGGATTGGACCAAAAGCTTCATCTTCTGTAATGGATAGATTGATTTGGGCACTTGGACACATAAGAGATTGCTCTAGGGATAAGGATATACTTCTTCAACTATGGGTGCCGATAAATAGGGATGGAAGGCGTGTGCTCAGCACAACTGATCAACCTTTCTTACTTGACCTTAATTGCCCGAGGCTTGCCAACTACCGTCAAGTCTCTGTAAACTATCAGTTTCCTGCAAATGAAGATTCTAAGGAGATTGTTGGATTGCCAGGCCGAGTGTTTGCAGATAAAGTTCCTGAGTGGTCGCCTGATGTTAGATTCTTCCGGAGCGAAGAGTATCCGCGTGTTGAACATGCTCAGCAGTATGATGTACGGGGCACCCTTGCTGTTCCTGTATTTGAGCAAGGTAGTCGTAACTGCTTGGGTGTTATTGAAGTTGTCATGACCACACAGAAGATCAAGTATCGCCCGGAGCTTGAAAGTGTGTGCGAAGCTCTTGAGGTTTGTCATTCCCTCTAATTTCTTTTTGTTAGATAGCTTAAGTTTTATATTCCTGCTAGGCTTCGATAATATAAAGCTCAGTATAAAGAAATCTATTGCTGTTTCGCATGTTAGTTAATTTGTTGTGGTTTTAAAGTAGTATCACTGACAATTTCTTGGTTGTTTTAGGACAGTGCTCATGGGCTTTGAAATCTTTATCTCACTTAGCCAAGGAGTGGAACTTTTAAAACTGTAATCATTTCTTGTGATTTCTTGGTTATCAGAAAGAATAATTTTGTGCTTTACTTATACAAAAAGATAGTTCACAAAGATCAAGATGAAATGCCAATTCCAAATGAATTAATATTCGATGAAGTTACAGAGATTGAGACGATAATAATTAAGTTTACAAAAACTACATTACTTGGTCAAAAAAAAAAACTAGTAAAGTTAGCAAATCAGAAGGATCTGTAACACGTTGAGTTCCATTAGTACTTGTTGCTAATTTCTTCACTTTGCTAATTTATCTAATCATTTGATGTTCCTCTCCTTTATTTAATCCTCATTATTGCTCTTAGTTAGGGATCAGATTGTTATAGTCTCATAAACGGCATTCTGTTTAGTCAAGATTTTCGGTGTTTGTTTTTAGTGTGCATAAGTCTTGCTTTTGTTATCCACGTGGAATTGCTTGTTTGTCCACACTTTGGTAATATAGTGAGGTTCCAGTTTCCTGAAATTCTCTCAAACTTATTATTTCTTTATAGGCTGTTAATCTCCGGACTTCCGAAGTTTCAACCACTCAGAATGCCAAGGTAATTGGACTGAACTTGCAAAAGAAAGCATTTGTTGAAGACTATAAAATTTTTCAGCATGATTTATTGAATAATTTTATCAGGAATGTGATTTGAGCTACCAACCGGCATTATCTGAGATTCTAGAGGTTCTGAAATCTGCATGCGAGACACATGGATTGCCATTAGCTCAGACATGGGTTCCGTGCGTTCAACAAGGCAAAGGAGGTTGCCGCCATTCTGAGGAAAACCTTATTCATTGTGTTTCCACAGAGGATTCTGCTTGCTATGTAGCTGACCCCCATGTTCGGAGTTTTCATGAAGCTTGCTCTGAGCACCATTTGCTCAAAGGGCAGGGTGTTGTTGGGAGAGCATTCATGACTAATCAACCATGCTTTTCAGCTGATCTGACCTCTTATAGCAAGACGGAGTATCCACTTTCTCATCATGCACAAATGTTTGGACTGCAAGCTGCAGTAGCTATACGTCTGCGGAGTATCTCAACTGGTTCATGTGACTTTGTTTTGGAGTTCTTTCTACCCTCAGACTGCAGAAATCCTGAAGAACATAGAAGAATGCTTACTTCATTGTCCATTATCATACAAAATGTTTGCCGGACTTTGAGGGTTGTGACAGACAAAGAGTTGCAGGAAGAAGCTGTTTCTATAGGCGAAGCGGCAAACCCCTCATTTATTAGATCCAATAAAGAACACACTGAAACTTCTCAAGAAAGGACATCGTGGACCTCTTGTGACGCAGAGTTCCAGGAGAGTTCTACTGTTGTTTCTGCATTCCAGGATGAAAAACCAGATGAAACGCTAAGGAAAGAACCTGTGGAGTTTAGGCACCATAATGATTCTGGTTATGGGATGAATTTTGCCTTAAATGAAAACCGTTCTGCTTCTGGGAAGGGTGTCTCTCGTAATGGTAAAAAGGGAGACAGGAGACGCACAAAGGCTGAGAAGACTATTACCTTGGAAATTCTTCAGCAATATTTTGCCGGTAGCTTAAAAGATGCTGCGAAGAGCATTGGGGGTAAGCATCAGTTGTCAAGTAACTTTCATGGATAAGATCCAAATGCATGCCCTTTTTTACCTCTGCTTTCTCATTTTGGTTTATAATTTTTATACTGATCCTATAGGTTGCTTTATCCTGTTGGACCTTTAACATACAAAAATTTTAACCTGTCTTTTGCTGCTTCTTCTGTCCCCTTCTTTCTAATTCTTGAATTACAGTTTGTCCTACCACTCTGAAGAGGATATGCAGGCAGCATGGAATTAAACGCTGGCCTTCTCGAAAGATCAAGAAGGTTGGTCACTCCTTACAAAAGATCCAACGTGTTATTGATTCAGTTCAGGGTGCCTCTGGCTCTTTACAAATTGAATCCTTCTATTCAAACTTCCCAGTGTTAGCATCTCCAAATGTATCAAGATTGAGCCCTTTTGCAGACTCAATGTCAAATGAACATCAAAAGGCCTTGAACGCGCAACAAGAAGGATGTGTTATGAGCCCCCATGCTGCTGCATCTAGGTCACCCTCATCTTCTTGCAGTCGAAGTTCCAGTTCAAGTCAATGTTGTTCATCTGGGACAAAGCCACAATCTTCCCCTTTGAGTATTGCTGGTAATGACGATCCAATTGTCCAGGAAGAGTCTGTTGATAACACAGTGAAAAGGGTTAAAAGTGAACCGGAGCTTCATTTATCAAGTGAAGCACTGAAGATTTTACCAAGATCGCAAAGCCATGCATGTGTTGCTGAGAATCCTAAATCAGAAAGCCTTCTAGTGAAGAAGGGTCCTTTGAGATCTCAAGAAGAAGCTCCACGAGTAAAAGTAACACATGGAGAAGAAAAGATTAGGTTCCGGATGCAAAACAGTTGGAGATACAGTGAACTGTTGAGAGAAATTACTAGGCGCTTTGGCATAGATGATCCCAGTGGACTTCAACTCAAGTACATGGATGATGACTCTGAGTGGGTTTTATTAACATGCGATGCAGATCTAGAAGAATGTATTGATGTTTGCATGTCTTCCCAAAACCAAATGATCAAGCTCATTTTAGTTCGTGATTCGCAGCATCATATTGGAAGCTCTTTCGGTAGCAGCAGCCCCATATTAGTGCAGTAGAGAAGTGGTGTAGCTCTAGTTGCAATTAGTTGCCAAAATGGACATAGTTTCCTCTTTTAGGATTAGATCTGAAATGTTGATTGCTACACATAGTAGATTCACTCTATTTGAGTTTCATGTAAGTCAATCCTTTTGACTATTACAAATGTATTAAGCCATAAGGCAGTAATTGTTTCATTATGCATGGGAAGAAGGGCATTCAGTTTATTACAAAGGTTATATGTAAGATCCTCCTCAAGTTGAACTCTAATGAAGAGATGAAAGGGTTTGATTAAGGCTGTATGTAGATACTGACAATCCTTTGATAACAGACTTGAAATATTTTAAGAGAGCCATGACTATTGTTCATATTCGCAAAATTTTAGGCGATTCGGATCCGGTAGCTCGGATTCATGCAGATGGTGTGGACTATAGCACGCGAAAATTTAAAAATTAGCCCGAATTCTTGTTTTTTCGCCATAAAGTGCCAAAAATCGAGGAATCGTGCCGAAGCCATAACTATTGTTCATTAGGTCATTTGTGATGGCCCCAAAAGTTTTAGGCGATTCGGATCCGGTAGCCCGGATTCATACAGATGGCGTGGACTATATAGCACAAATTTGAAAATCGGCCCGAATTCAAGTTTTTTGGCCCTAAAATGCCAAAACGAGGAACAGTCATGCCGAAGCTATGACTATTGTTCATTAGGTCATTTTTTATGGCCCCATAAAATTTTACGCGATCCGGATCCGGTAGCCTGGATTCATACCGATGGTATGGACTATAACACACGAAAATTTGGAATCGGCCCAAATTTCATTTTTTGGCCTTAAAATGCCAAAAAAGAGGAATGGTCATGCCGAATCCATGACTATTGTTCATAAGGTCATTTTTGATGGCCTAGTAAAATTTCAGGCGATTCAGATTCGGTAACCCGGATTCATGCATATGGCATTGACTAGCCCACGAAAATTTGAAAACTGACCCGAATTCTAGCTTTTTGACCATAAAATGCCAAAAGAACAAAGAACGATCATGCCGAATCCATGACTATTGTTCCTTAGGTCAATTTTGATTGGCCGGTAAAATTTTAGGCGATCCGGATTCGGTCGTCCGGGCCCATGCAGATGGCGTGGGCTATAGCGCACGAGAATATGGGAATCTGGTGGAATTCTAATTTTATGGTCCTAAAATGCCAAAAACGAGGAACGATCACAGCGAGGCGATGACTATTATTCCTTAGGTCTTTTTGACAAGCCGACAAAATTTTAGGCGATCCGGGTCTGGTCGCCCGGGCCCATACATATGGCATGAGTTATAACACACGAAAATTTAGGAATCAGGTGAAATTCCAGTTTTACGGCCTTAAAACGCCAAAAAATAAGGAACGGTCATGGCGAGGCGATGATAAAAGTGATAGGTATGTGTTGTTTCTTGGCACTCTCTTTCTATATTATTCCAACCTAAAAAGAGCGATGGAAAGTGGATTTCAGGTTTGATAGTCTCGAGAAGGTATTAGCCACCGGTGACCATACTTTCGTAAAAGCACCACTGGGCGGTGAGAAATTGTTCCTTAGGTCGTTTTTGATGGGCCGACAAAAATTTAGGCGATCCGGGTGATCCACGTTCAATCCGCACTCAATAGTGAGTGAAAACGTTCGTTGGAAAATAGCACCTAACAAGAGTCGGGGTCGATTTTCTTAAGGAGTTACAACGGGTGTTAGGAATATACACTTGACGAAAGCGAATAGGATAACTAAATTGCACTTCCACAAAATGTTTTGATTTCTAATTCTAATTTAACTCTAGCAATTATAAGCTAAGAAAAGAAACTAAAAGCGAATGATTGTTTTTTTTTTTGTTGGTATTTTTCCAAATAATTAAAAAGCCTATGGATGTGACCATAACCTACGTGTTCGCCTAATGGGTTAAATACGTTAATACTTGCTTTGTTAATTGGGGTGTATTATAGCTCTCAACTCTACGTTACCCACTCAATACCTCTCGGTCAAAGAGTAATTTTTTCTAATTCGACTTTCTCAAGTCCGAGTGGGTATCAAACAAAATATTTGATATGAGCTAAAGTTGGGTTCTCACTATCTCTAGTTTGAACCATTTAATTACGCTAATCAGACCCTCAATTAGCCCAATCAGGCCCTCAATTAACCCAATTCCTTGTTAACCAAGTTATCCTAGACAAGGTCCCTCTTTCTCAAGTAGAGACTAAGTCAAAAAGGCATGAATCAATGTTCGATCCCATTAATTTTAAAATTGAAGCATAAATTAAGCTAAATAATCAACACCCAATCATAAACAAGCATTAAATTAGGTACCCATAAGGTTTACACACTAGGGTTGGGTCACAACCCTAGTAAGAATCTAGCTACTCATAGTGAGAATTGAAGAAAATAAAGAAGAAATGCTAAACTCATAATCTAAGATTAGAATGGTAAAATATGATATTTAAGACCTAAAACAATCACAAAATTCCTAAAATGGCAAAATGTAACGGTTACAACAGCTTAGACTTCGAAACTTGACATAAAAATGTGAAACTCGTCTATTTATAGTGACCCAAAATTTACTGATAAAAATGCCCCTCGGGAGGTTCTGCGGCCGCACGATTCCATGTGCGGTCCGCATATTTCTTCAGTTAGCAAGATCTTGGATTCTGCAGCCACACAATTCTGGATTGCGAATGCAAAGCATCTTCTGCGGTCGCATAATTCTTGTGCGGTCCACACTTCAGCAAGGCTTCAGGTCTTGGTCTTTTTGCACACTCTCTGAACTTTGAATCATTTGTTATTGCAGACCTTGTTATGCAGCCGCACATTTCATGTGTCGTCCGCACATTAGCCAAATTCCTGCCGGGCCCTTTCACTTGATCTGCTGCCGCAGATGGAATTGTGAGGTCCGTACATTCTTCTGCGGCCGCACAATTCCTTCTGCGGACCGCACTTCTTAAGTTCTGCACCCTTTCTTGCCTTGTGATTCGGAACACTCTTTTTTGAGTCGAATTTCATCATGGGAGATCAAACTTCCAACATTCCTGCAATTGCACACTTTCATTAGTTTCGGGAACATAAATCAATACTTTAGGACTAAAACAAAAGCAAAAAGGTGCTAATAAGTAGTCAAAATCTCCACTTATCAAGTCCCCCAAATTTAAATCTTTGCTTGTCCTCAAGCAAATAAATTAGTTCCCAGCTCCTAGAGTTAAGGATCATTTTAGCGAGTCAAAGGTGAGCAGTCATATATCAATCGGGACCAACTATTACCCACACTACTCATGCATTATCAACAAGGTGACAAGTCAATTATTCATGCACATATAGTTCTAATGTGACATTTGAGCTTCAAGAATTGACTTTACTCATCACGGACTCTTGTTCTATCGTGTAGGTCATGGTGGACTCCAAACTCTTCCTCCTCTACTTTTCATTTGCCAAGCTCAGTTAAGAAATTAACACTCAATCTTAAGATTCATGAAAGGTTCACTCATCTCTCACAAGAGAATGTCACAAGTACGACTTCAAGTACCATAGGCTTGCCCCTCTTGTAGATCGCCACTAATGTAAGCTCACTCGATTTGAAATCAAGTAAGACTTCTTTTGGGTTGTAATGAGGGCTTTTGGATTAGGGTAGGATACCATATGGGTAAGTGGTTACACCTTTCCTTAAGCACTCCACATTTTTATTTCTCAGCTCACAATTACCAATTCTTAGAGGCATTTTCTTTCCATTGGGGGACTAGAGAGACTTAACATCACTTTTTTTGTTCATTTCATTATTTTTCTCCCTTTTTGATTGCTCATGCTAGGGATCATTACCTCTTTTTGAATCCACCAACCCTTCCACTTATTCACGTTTTGCATTTTTCTTTTTGTTCTTTTCTTTTCTTGCTTTCTCTTGTCATAGAGATCATTTCTTTTCTCTTTTTGTTCCTTGATACCTTTTTGAAATTCCTCGACTCTCCCCCAAACTTATGTTTTAAGCCACTTGTTTCACAAGAGTGTTAAGGAAATTCCGGGTGCCAAGAGAGGATAATGACAAAACGGGTAAAGTCTTATAACGACAAAATGGGGTATCAAACAAAATAGTTTATATGATTAGAGGAATTTGAAAAAGGTATCAAGGCACAAAAAGAGAAAAGAAATGATCTCTATGAAAAGAGAAGGCAAGAAAAGAAAAGAACAAAAAGAAAAATGCAAAACGTGAATAAGTGGAAGGGTTGATGGATTCAAAAAGAGCTAATGATCCCTAGCATGAGCAATCAAAAAGGGAGAAAAAGAATGAAATGAACAATAAAGAGTGATGTTAAGTGTCTCTAGTCCCCCAATGGAAAGAAAATGCCTCTAAGAATTGGTAATTATGAGCCGAGAAATGAAAATATAAAGTGCTTAAGGAAAGGTGTAACCACTTACCCATATGGTATCCTACCCTAATCCAAAAGCCTTCATTACAACCGAAAAGAAGTCCTACTTGATTTCAAACTGGGTGAGCTTATATTAGTGGCGATCTACATGAGGGGCAAGCCTATGGTACTTGAAGTCATACTTGTGACATTCTCTTGTGAGAGACGGGCGAACCTTTCATGAATCTTAAGATTGAGTGCTAATATCTTAAGTGAGCTTGGCAAATGGAAAGTAGAGCAGGAAGAGTTTGGAGTCTACCATGACCTACATGATAGAACAAGAGTCCGTAATGATTAAAGTCAATTCTTGAAGCTCAAATGTCACATAAGAACTATATGTGCACGAATATTTGACTTGTCACCTTGTTGATAATGCATGAGTAGTGTGGGTAATTGTTGGTCCCAATTGATATATGAATGGCTCACCTTTGACTCGCTAAAACGATCCTTAACTCTAAGAGGTGGGAACTAATTTATTTGCTTGAGGACAAGTAAAAACTTAAGTTTGGGGGACTTGATAAGTGGAAATTTTGACTACTTATTAGCATCTTTTTGCTTTTGTTTTAGTCCAAAAGTATTGATTTATGTTCCCGAAACTAATGAAAGTGTGTAATTGCAGGAATGTTGGAAGTTTGGTCTCCCATGATGAAATCCGACTCAAAAAAGAGTGTTTCAAATCACAAGGCAAGAAAGGGTGCAAGACTTAAGAAGTGCGGTCCGCAAAAGGAATTGTGTGGCCGCAAAAGAAATTACGGACGGCAGAATTCCATCTGCGGCCACAGATCAAGTGAAAGAGCCTAGCAGGAATTTGGCCAATGTGCGGACGACACATGAATTGTGCGGCCGCATAACAAGGTCTGCACTAACAAATGATTCAAAGTT